CGGCCGCGGAGCGGCGTTTTGGGACCCTCTCCAACTGCAACCACACGTACTGCCTGTCCTGCATCCGGCAGTGGAGGTGCGCCAAGCAGTTTGAGAACCCCATCATCAAGTAAGTGCAGCGGCGCCCTGGCCGCGGGAGCTGGGAGAACGGGGGAGTGTGTGCCCCCGCTACAGGGATGTGGGCGGTTGCTCTCCCCACTGAGCCCAGGCGCCATTTCTAGAGGAGGCGGGTGATGAGCCTGCGGCAGTCAGGCTGTGGGGACTCGGCAGAGGTCTGCTGTGGAGGGCAGTGATGGCATGGCCTGGCGGTGAAGGGGGTCTGCCTGTCACCCTTCATGAGCTTCATGTTTCTCTTTGTACCAAACAAAAGAGGACTAACACACATAAAGACTTCACTCATCATGCCTGGCCCATGGATGTGGCGTGTGGCTCCCACGGGAGTCTTCGGTGCCAGTGGGGCAGGGCAGGAGCAGGCTCACGTTGGGACTCTCGGCCACTCTTCACCTCATATCATTCTCTCAGAAACCTGATGACCGCCTTCTCAGTTGCAGAGGAGGACACTGCAGCCTGGTGAGGTCAGGTCACTTGCTTAAAGCCACACATGATGTGGAGAACAGCAGCTTCATTGAGGAGAGCGTGCGGTTCAGTGGTGGTTAGTGCGTCTGCAGTCACGGGCCCGTCACTAAAATCCAACTGCAGGACATTTTCATCATCTCCAAAGGAGACCTCCGTCCGCAGTCGGCAGTGATCCAAGCTTTCCGGCCCCGGGCAGCCAGTCATCCAGTTTCCGTTTCTACAGACCGCATATTCCAGAACCCCGTATGGTGGGCTCATACCACGCGTGGCCTTTAACTGTCTCCCTCGACTTCAGATGTGTGAGGTCCGTCCCGGGGCGCAGTAGTGCTCCGTTCCCCTTAGGGCAGAGGAGTAATGCCCGTGGGTGGAGCACCTGTGACTGACCCTTCCGTCAGCAGTGGGCACGCCTGCGTTTCCACTCTAGCTGTTGGGTTGTTGCGAAAGTCACGACGCATCTTTGCACAGAAAAACAACGTCCCGACTTTCCCCTTGAGCTAATGTTGTGACTGGTGCTGCAGTGGGTGTGTGCAAGTTGTTTCTGATTTTTAGGTTTTTGCCATTGAGCATGTGCATTTGACAGAGAGAGGAGAAGTGAGACATTCTAGTCCCTGGTGGGGGTGACCACATTGTAGTCCCTTTTCCCCATCATTTCAGGATTTGGAGCATACACGCACATGCACCCAGTGTGATTTACAAGCTGCCAGACCCCGAATTCAAACTGCAGTTAGCCATGTGGGAATCCAGTGCCCTCGCCACCACGCCACCTGCTGGCCCCTACATGTGAGGTTTCTTTTTCAAACTTTATATAATAAAGTATTTATTTTATTCATTCATTTATTTTAATCTGACCAGAGAGGGGAAACACATAAACACACACAGAGAGAGAAAGAGTCAGAGAGAGAGGCAGTGAGAAAGCAAGCCGTCAGGTCCTGGACTTGAACCGCAGTCAGTCCCGTGGGAGTGTCCAGTGCCTTCACCACCACACCACCTCCCGGCCCTTACTTGTGAGTGTTTGAGTGGCTCCTGTTTTCATTCCCCGTGGCATGTACCTGGGAGTGGGGTGGGTAGCTGGGTCCCGGGGTAAGCGTTTAACTGTTGGCACCGCTGCAGGCCGTTTCCAAAGTGCAGGCACCATTCTTGCGTCCCACGAGCAGCGAATAGGGTTCTGGTTGCGCCTCGTCCTCACCAGCACTTGCCAAAGCTGTGTCTTATGGTGGCTTTGATTTGCATCTCCCCGGCATTTGTGACATTGAGCATCTCTCACTGTGTTTAGTGGCCCTTTTGGAGAAGTGCCTGCTCACATCCATAGCTCATCTTACAAATGACTCATCTGTCTCTCTTGTTGAGAAGAACCTGTCTTTAACAGTGAGAAGCTTTTTCAGAGGACTACGATGGCGTCATGTGGAATTTGGGTTTAGGAACAGCCTGTGAAGGTCATGCATTGAGCAAGGGGATCAGCGGTGGAGTGTGCCCAGGATTCATCACGTAGTCTGGCCCTCACTAAGCTGGCTCTCATTTCAGGTCCTGTCCAGAATGCCGTGTGATCTCAGAGTTCGTCATTCCAAGTGTGTATTGGGTAGAAGACCAGAATAAAAAGAACGAGTTGATTGAAGCTTTCAAACAGGGGATGGGGTAAGTGTTTTGAGTTCAGATATGACCCTGATGACTGCTTGGCTCTGGTTTCATTCACCTTCAGGCCTCCTTTCCCTCCCGAGAATGTGGCCCTGGGGCTCTGAAGCCACTCAGAGCCGCTTTTCTCAGGCACCATGCTGGGCTCTGGGATGCAGAGATGAGCAAGGACATTTGAGACGGACTGCAGTTTGTGAGCTGAGCAGATTCCTCTAGGAACCCTGGTTTCTGGTGCTACTTGGCATCTGTGGTCATTCATTCAACTAGTAGGTATTGATGTCCTGTTACAAGGTAGACCTTTCCTTGTAGGGGGGTAGAGCATTGCAGAAAACAGACAAAAACCCTAGTCCTCACACAGCTCAAATTCTAGTGAAGAAAAATAATAAGAATAAGGAATAGGGTCATCTCTAGCGATATGAGAATGGGGCCCCACGTGGCCAGTTCTGTTGACTTGAAAAACATACTGCCGCAGGGTAGGACCAGGAGCTGGCGTAATGGTTATATTGCTGGACTCCCACATAGTCGACCATGGTTCAAGTCCCGGACCCGGCAGCTCAAACTCCTGCCAGGCACGTGTGCGTACGTGCTTGCCCAAGATCCTGAGAGGAGAAGGGATTGTAGCATGGCCATGCCCCCCGAGGGGTGATTTCTTGCTTTCTGTCTCTCTGTCTCTGTCTTTCGGCGAGTGTATGTGCCCTATAGCAAAAACCTCTCAAAAAAACAAAAACAAAAAACAAACAAACTACACCACGCACGTGCCAAATACCAACAGGATGGAGAAGTGGAGAAGGGATTGCAGTGTGGCCACGTCCCACTGGGAGCTCCTTCTTCCCTCTCCCTCTGGCAGTTAATAAAAGAGGAGGAGCAGGCAAGACAGATGAGGAAAACAGCTATTAGATGGTGATCAGGGCTAAGCAGAGACCGAGGCCAGGGGCTCAGGGTAGGGAGCGAGGAGGGCCGCATTTCTGTGGGGAGGACCTGGAAGGCCTCAGTATGGGCGCCTTGGAGTAGAGACCTAGAGGGGAGGCAGCAAGCCGTGTCCGAGTGACCAGATGTTCCAGATGGAGGGAACGGACACTGTCGAGATGAGGCAGAAGTGTGTGTCCCTGAGGGCCCAGGGAGGGTGTGGGAGACAAGGGCGGGGGAGGCGGAGGGGGTGACTGCGTGGGGCTATGTCTTGGGTGGGCTGCGCCTTTGTTGTGAGTGACGAGGAGCCATTGGCGGTCACTCTGGCCCGTGTGTGGAGATTGTATTAGAAGAGCAGGCACAGGTGAGAATAGGGAGACGGGTCACGCACGCCCAGTCGTGATCCAGGGGAGCTACAACAGCGCAGCGAGCCTCCCCCAGAGCCAGAGCCGGGGGCGGGCGGTGGCCGGTGGCCGGTGGCCGGTGCTGGGTCTGTGGACTCGGTGAGGCACAGCACGGGTGAGAGGAGGGCTTGGTTCAGACCTCGCTGTCTGGCTTTGTTTCATACACGCCTTGTGGGCTCCGCTCTGGGAGCCAGGGGCAGCCGCCACTCTGCTGTCTGCATGTGGGCAGACGGTGCATCGGCTTTGGGAGACCGCAGTGCGGTTGACACGGGGGTGAGGATGGAGGAGCTGACGGCGTGACTGCGCCGCGTTCAGGCCCTCACGGTGCCCATCGTGATCACTGACGCAGAACTGTGCTGTTGGGGGCTGCGTTGTTTGCGTCGTCTTGGGAAGCCGTGACGAGTCACCCCATTTACCATCTCAGGACGGTGGGAACCCGTTCTCCCTGGTGAGGAGTCAGTGGTGACTGCAGCTGTGACGGGTCGCCTTTCCCACCAGCATCTTGCCCTTCGCCTAGTGATGGCGTTCTTGTGTTACACCACCTGGTGTTCTCATCTGCCATTCACCTCGTAGGGAAATTGGGGCTACTTTCATGAATACTTTTTTCTCTTGTTTTCTTCTCCTAAGGTGGCACGTGTGATTGACCTACTGATACTGTCCCAGAGGTCTCTGGGGCGCTACTACTTATTTTAATCTTCCCCCTCTGCTCATCTCAAACTAGTACTGCTTTGATGTCCTTGTTATCTTAGGTTTGGTCCCTGTGGTTGCCTTTCCTCTCAGAAAGGGCCACATTTTCCTAATTCTTTGTACCTGGTCATTTTAGACTTTACCCTTAGCATCGTGAAAGCTCATCACGCGGTCTGGGTTCTGCGGGGGCCGTGGAGGAAGTGCTGTTTCAGTAGGCGGGCAAGGAGGAGTGTGGACTCGGCCCCTCAGATGGCTCGTCGTTCAGCCATGCCTGCCGCTTGCCTCGGTCAGGGCTCAGCGGGGACCCCCTCCTCAGGCTTCTGCGCCACCGCATTCCCACGTGCGTGGCTGTGCCGTCCTTGAGCGCAGGCCGGGGTGCTGACCCCCCAGTGGCGTTCAAGCCACCCTGCATGTGCTGCCCCTGGCCCGCGCTAGGCTAAAAGCTATCTTTTTAAAAAAATGTCACTCACCCCTTGCCATTCCACGTGTTAGGTGTCTCCTCCCTGCAAGTGCCTTCCTGCTTTTGTTCACTCTCCAGTTCCTCGGGTCTTTTTAAATACCTGTATTTCTAGTTCACTTGCCGGCGCGTTGGGTGTGGTAGGAGCGGACTTGCCCAGCTGTGTTGTCACCCCGTGTGCTCCCGTCAGTTCCCATGGCTCCGCTCTGTGTTCGCCCGTGCAGTCTTACTGTGTGTCCACAAGAGGGCAGGCCCGGCCCGGCCGAGGGCTGACTCACTCGTGCTGCTTCTAACCCACGACTCCAGACAGACCCAGTCCACTTTCCACCGGCCGAAGGGTCTGCTGAGAGTAGTCCAGGAACTGTTTCTGCTGTTTGGGTCTTTCCCGGTCTTTGCTCTCACGTGGCAACTGTGTTTACGCAGTTCAGTGAGCGCTCACCATCAAGCTGAGCACCACTAAGTAGATGAGGCCGTGGGGACCTGCAAGACAACTGTGCGACAGGCTTTCTGGGGAGGCTGGGGGGAAACCCAACCAGCTGTCCCAGCAGGGGAAGCGCCTGGTGAGGGAGCAGGCAAACAGGGGCCCGAGCCTCTAACCAGGAGGAACCTGTCTCTGGGGAGGGATGATACGAGGTGGGTATAGTTTTAATTTCGAGGCCGTGGGAACAGCCCCTGCGTTTGAAATAGCCCTGGGAAGGGCTATGGTGGGACCCACGGGGACAGTGATGGACTGGAGACCACAGGGCCTTGAACCCCAGCTTGGTCTTGGTCTTTAAGAAGCAGGCCTGAGGGAACCAGCACTTAGTGTAATGGCTATGTCGCTGGACTCCCACATAGTTGACCGTGGTTCGCGTCCCAGACCCGGTGGCTTAAAACTCACACCGGGCACGGGCGCACATGCCCACGTGCCCAAGATCCCGAGAGGAAAATGGAGAAGGGATTGTGGCGTGACCATCTCCCCTGGGGGGTGATTTCTCGCTTTCTGTCTCTCTGTCTCTGTCTGTCTGGCAAGCGCACACGCCCTAAAGCAAAAACCTCTCCAAAAAAAAAATTTAAAAGAGAAAAAAAAAAAAGCAGCAGGCCTGACAAGGAGCAGTCGGAGGCTCCCGAGTGCTGCGAAGAGGTTAGAAACTGGAAGGAGTGGCAGGCAGGGGCAGGGTTGCCCTGGGGGCTTCGCAGGGGTGGGAACCACAAAGGGCAGGAGATGAGAGCTAGGTCAGGGGAGCTGAGTGCGCTGGAAGCCGTCTGTCTGTCAGTCGGGTCATCAGAAGTCATGACAGATACTTGTTTTTTAATGCAAAAACGCGTCATGAGTTTTCTGGCGACCAAGTAGGTGGGCTGGAGGTGGGCCTTGGTGAGTTACCCTCGCTGTGTCTGGGATGCCCTCTCGTCCCGGGGGAGCTGTTGTCAGAGTGCCGGCTGTGCGACGCTCACCTGTCCAGAACTGCCCTGTGGTCACCACTGCCTTGTCTGAGGGGGACGGCCACGGAGTCTAGCAGGTCCCCTCTAATGTCGTCAGCCATCGAACGCCCACCCTGCTCTCTGCGGTAACTTGTCTTCATTTCTACAACTTTCCCCTTCCTCAGTCCTCCCAAATGGGCTTGGTTCTTGAATACCTCCTCCTTTTCAGAACTGTGGGTTTTTTGTTTTGTTGTTTTATTTAAGAGAGTTTTGCTGTAGGGCGTGTGCGCTCTCAAGAGAGACAGAAAGTGAGAGGAGAGATGGAGAGCCACGCCAGTCCTCTCTCCTCTCAGGACTTTGGGCACGTGCACACGTGCATTCAGCCCAAGTTTTAAGCTGCTGGGTCCGGGACTCAAACCATGGTCAACTACATGGTAGTCCAGCAACGTAACTATTATGCCATCTGCTGGTCCCTACTTTGGGTTGTGATTGGCTGAACCAAATTTCACTTGAGTACGTAGTGAGAAATTGTGAATTTTGCGTTCCCTCACAGCATTTTTTTGTTGTTTTAACTTTGCTAGAGAAAGCACTTCCTGTGGCCAGGCCACCTCCACCCTCTGGCTGCTGCCTGGTTACCTGGGAAGTACGGGGACTGCCTCGAGGGCCTGTGGAGCCCTGCAGGGGCCACCACAGGAGTCTCCAGGCAGGGCTGTCCTCTGGGAGGAGAATCATCCAGCGTGGAAAGTGGGCAGCCAGCCATGTGTGCTGAGACAAGTCACGGGGCCGTAGGTTCAGGACGAGCCTCCGCTTCCCCATCTGAGGATGACGACCAGCACTGGCCTCACAGCTGCGGTAGAGGAAGACAGTGGCCCATCTGGACCCCCTTTCTCACACTGTTCTGAGCTTTTCTTTCTGCTTTTCAGGAAAAAAGCTTGTAAATACTTTGAGCAAGGCAAGGGGACCTGCCCCTTTGGAAGCAAATGCCTTTACCGCCACGCATATCCCGACGGGCGGCTGGCAGAGCCCGAGAAACCTCGGAAGCAGCTCAGTTCTGAAGGCACCGTGAGGGTAAGGACCTTGCTGCTGTTAGGCAGGGACACGGGGCTGCGCCATTCCCGGGTACTGTTCGGGCCCCTCGGGGAGCTTCAGTTGGCAGCAGAAAACTGGAGCGGGCAAAATGGAAGAGCGGGTGAGCTCCCGGCCTCACGCGGCCTCCATCAGTAACCGGGCCCTTCTGCTGTCCTGCAGTTCTTTAACTCAGTGCGGCTCTGGGACTTCATTGAGAACCGAGAAAGCCAGCACGTCCCCAGCACCGAAGAAGTCGACATGACAGAGCTGGGGGACCTCTTCATGCACCTCTCCGGAGTCGAGTCATCAGAACCCTGAAGAGCACAGGTGCTGCACCTGCATCGTGGCCCTGCAGCCCAGACTTCCCCACCCGGGGTGTGGGAGCTGCCCCTGCTGCCTCAGCGCTCAGATGAGAGTGGGGTGGCACCTCCCCTCGGTCTCACCCACTCCATTATTACAGCCCTGGGAACAGCGAAGGATATAAAATTCCTAACAAGTATACAAAATGCTCTTCTTAGAGTTGCTCTCTTAGTTGCACTTTGAACCCCTCTGGTGACCAGCTAACACTCAGACTGTTTTTGATGATTGCTTTTAAAACATACCTGGCTTCTGTCCTTCTTGATCTTTTTCTCCCCAGAAACGGTAAACCTGCATCTGCCTCAGAAGCTGCAGATGCCTTTTTCCCACCGAGGGTTCCTCTCTGGTGAACTCCCATGTGTGCTGGGAGACGTTTTACCTCCTCGGAGCCTTTTGTGAACACAGCGATAGCACAACTCCCGTGGGGCCCTTCGAGATGATCAGCTTGTGAGCTCCCGCAACTGTCCCCAGTCAGTGGTGCTGGTGTCCCATGTGCAGCCGCAGTGAGGGTGTGGACCCTTCCCTCCTAGGAGGCCCCTGGAGCCGCAGGAAGCGCTGCGCCAGGACCCCTCTCACGTTGGCTCATGCCCGGCAGTGTGTACTGGGGGCTCGGAGCACACGTGCGCTATCCTTGCCTGTGAAACCCAGCTCTGATTTGAGGTTTCCGGCCCTGCCCCGGCAGTGGTCCTAAAAAGAAGCGAAGGTGGTGGTCTTCGACAGCTGGATGGTGACTGAAGGGTGGACATAACCTTGTGAATCAGACTATTTCTGTAAAAAGCAGTGCAGACACAAAACATTTTTAGAATTGCACTCCTTCCAGATGTGAGAAGATCCGTCATCTGCGCTGGGTGCGTTTTGCTCTGCTTTCCGAGTTGGGGTCAGTGCAGGGACACAAGGGGCACAGTGGCTTAGTCCCCCTCACCCCCAGCCGAGGCGCCCATCCACTTCTTGAGCTCTCCAGAAGGGTGACAACTACTTTCAAGGAAGGGAACAGCCATTAAACCTAAATTTAATTTATTTTATTAAAATAACATAATTGAGGAACCATTAGATAACTGTATTTTGTCAGGCGCAATAAAAACAAAATTAAAACTCAAATTGTCAAGAAAACCTGTGTTCCTTGCTTCCTTGCACACACGATGTGACGGGACAAGGCTGGCCCTATGGTCTGCCCCATGGGGGCAGCTCCTGGAAGACGATACACACACGGTGGGGGCCTGCTCCCTGCGAGGGAGGCTGTGGTGGGAGGAGAGGCCGAGCGCCGGCCAGGAAGCCATCCAGACGCCTCAGGCTGAGCGAGCACGCGGCCCCAAGTCAGGT